GTTGTAAGGGCTTTGCAATGTGCGTGTGCGTGCGTGATTAGTAAGGGCTTGCATGTGCGGTGTGGCACGTGCGTGCGTGCGTGCGTGCGGTCATGCGTGTGTGTGCGCGGTGTGCGTGGCATGTGCGTACGTGTGGTGTGTTGCGTGCAGGTGCGTTCGTGTGTGTGTGCGTGCGGCGTGCGAGCGTGTGTGTGTGTGTGTGGGTGTTGCGTGCCTGCGGTGGCGCGCGTGTGTACATACACGTATATCGTGATACGATGTCTTAGCACAGCGCCAACACACTGTCTTTCTGTCTTTAAAACCTTGCAAGACCATCCAGCGACCCGCACAGTGTCCAGGTACCGAGGCTGACATGCTCAAAGGTGAGCTGTTAGAAGGCTGAGGTGTCCAGTCAGCCTGCCGCCTGCTTCTGAGAATCGCAATCACAGAATATAACTAATTTGGATTTCAAACCGAGTAAGCGCGTGGCCGTGCATTCGAAGGCTTTGTAAGGCTTGCATTGTGGTGCGTGCGGCGTCGCGTGGCGTAGTAAGGGCTTGCAGTGTTGCGTGCGTGCGTGCGTGTGTGTGCGTGCGTGCACGTAGTAAAGGGCTTGCATTGTGCGTGGCGTGCGTGCGTGCGTGGGCTAGTAAGGGCTTGTCATGTGTGTGCGTGCGTGCATGTGTGATGTTTGCGTGCCGTGCGTGCGTTGTAAGGGCTTGCATGAATGTATGCGTCGCGTGCGTGTGTGTGCGTGCGTGCGCGTGTGCGTGGCGTGTAAGGCGTGCCATGTGCGCGTGGGCTGGCGTGCGTGCGTGCGATGCGTAGAAGCGGCTTGCAGGGTGGCGCTGCGTGCGGGTTGAGCTGCTTGTGGCGTGTCGTGCTGTGTTTGCAGGCGGCTGTTGCAATGTGTGTCGTGCTCATGGGTTCCGTCTGTTAATTGATAAGTATGCGTGCGTGCGTGTGTTGCGGTGCGTTGGCGCGCGTGTTGCGGCGTGGGTAAGGGCTTGCATGTCGCGTGGCGTGTGCGGCGTGCGTGCGTGGCGTAGTAAGGGCTTGCATGTGCGTGCGCGTGCGTGCGTGCGTTGTAGGGCTTGCATGTGTGTGTGCGTGCGTGTGTGCGTGCGTGCGTGTGTGCGTGCGTAGTAAAGGGTCTTGCATGTGCGCTGTGGCGTGCGTGCGTGCGTGGCGTGCGTGTGAAGTAAGGAATTGCAGTGTGTCGTGCAATACTTTGCGTAGTGTGTGTGTGGCGTGCGTGCGTAGTAGGCTTTGCATGTGGCGTGCGGCATTGCGTGCGGTATATGGTTCGGCGTGCGTGCGAAAGAAGGCTTGCGTGTGCGTGTGCGTGCGTGCGGCGTGCTGTGCGTGCGTGCGAGCATGCGCGTGTGTTGTGTGTTGCGTGCGTGCGTGGCGTGCGTATGTGCGCTACGTGCGTGTGTGCGTGCGAAGTAAGAGCTTGCATTGTGCGTGGCGTGCGTGCGTGTCGTGGGCGTGCGGCATGCCGGTGTGGCATGCGTGCGTGCGGTGCGTGCGTGCGGCGCTGTGTACATACACCGTATATCGGAACAGTCTTGCACAGCGCGAACACAATGTTTCTGTCCTTTTAAATCCTGCGAGACCATCTCGCAGCGACCCTCTAGTGTCCAGGTACCGAGGCTTGACATGCTCACTAGGTGAAGCTTTGACAGATGAGCTGTTTACAGTGAAGGTGTCGGCCAGTCACCTGCTCACCCTGCCTCTGAGAATCGCAAAGGCACACTAAATAATTTTTGGAATTCCGCACACGAGTCAGGCCGTTCGGTTCTACACACACATGCAGCACACACACACATCACAGTCACAAAGCACACAGCACACACACACACACACACACACACACACATCAGCACACACCACACACACAAGCACACATCACATCACACACACACCCACACACACACCACACACACGACACTCGGGCTAGCGCGCGCACACACACATAATAAATATAATAAATAAAATCATATATATATTATATAATATATATATATATATATATATATACTTGATGTATGTGGTGTGTGTGTGTGTGTGTGTGTGTGTCTGTCTGTCTGCCTGCATGTGTGAGTGTGCGTGTGTGTACGTGCGTGCGTGTATGCGCGTGCGTGCGGGTGCGTGCATGATAGCGAACTATGTCATTAGGTACAATGACGTTACGCCCGGGCGGGTAATACATTACCGCAGTCGTTCATGCTAGCAGTTTCATAGTTCGTCGGCCTCAACGCCTCGTAATATTACTTTTGGCCAGGCCCCAAGCCTTCCGAGAAAAATCAACGACCCGGACGCGACCGCTAGCGCCCTCAGGCGGCGACAACGTCTCTCTACCGGTACGCGCGAGCGCCTGCAACGAGCGCTCGCTTCTGACGTCGCCATGGCAACTACAATGGCGGACAGAGACGTTGCGTGTTCGTGATCTTATTAAATTATTTGTGCTCGTAAGATTTTTTTTTGGAAACTGGGGATTTCCGAGCCTCGGGGTGTGGGACTTTTTTTGTTTCCCCAGGTGATCCGGGCACGCGAGACCTGGGAAACAAGACTTCTCCGTGGGTATAAAAAGCCGTGATAGATGCAAGTGTTAAGTTACGGAGACCAAGGTTGAGTTTTTTTTGAGAGCAAAGTGAGAAGATAGTTACTTCGAGGGACGCAGGAAGAGCGATTCGGCGACACACAGAGGGAAATACAGACAAGGTTTAGAAGCGAGCAGAAGGTTTGAAAAGACAAAGCGAGGTGAGTAAATTCAGGCGAAACTTCATTGTGGAAATCGCGGTTAGCTGTGTATATCGTGCGTGATAGAGTAAAGTACGTAAGCTCAGTAGTGCCCATAGAGTCTAAATGTCTCCCTGGGTACTGCCGGAACGTACCCTGGGTACGGTCCGGTATACCGGAACGTACCCTGGTAACTATCTGATGGTTAGGGTTAGGATTAAGGTTAGGGTTAGAGTTAGGGTTATAGGGTTAGGGTTAGGGTTAGGGAGTAGGCGTAGGCGACTCCCTAGACTCGTTAGTGGAGTAGGCGAGGTACGGTAGGCAGGTAGATAGTTACCAGGGTACGTTCCGGTATACCGGACCGTACCCAGGGTACGTCCCGGCAGTACCCCGGGAGACGTATAGACCCTCTCAGCCTCAGTAGTACTGACTAGCGAGTGAAGCGCCTCTTAATCTGCTTGCACTCTCACGCAATCTCCACGTTCTATCATGAAAACGAGACATTAATATCCGGAGAAGCAGCAGCAGTAGCAGTAGCAGTAGCGGTAGCGGTAACGATAGTGGTAGCGGTAGCAGCAGTAGTAGTAATAGTAGTAGTAGTAGTAGTAGTAGTAGTAGTAGTAGTAGTTGGAAGTAGTTATAGAGAAAAAGTAAGGTAGTACGTAGTAGTAGTAGTTGTTGTTTGTTGTTGTTGTTGTTTTGAGAGTATAGCAGCAGACGTAAGCAACAGCAGGCAATTAGCAGTAAGGCAGTAGTCAGTGAAGCACAGAAATAGTGCAGCAGGCAAGCATTATATTTAGGCAGCATCGCAGTAACAGTAGCAGCCAGTAGGCTAGTAGCAGCAGCAGTAACAGTATTAGTAGTTGGTGCAGTAGTATGCAGGCAGGTAGTAGGCAGTAGCAGCTAGCAGCAGTATCAGTGCAGCAGTAGCCGCAGCAGTAAGGCAACAGGCAGTAGCAGCAGAGCAATAGCAGATCCAGCAAGCAGGCAGCGCTTAACGCACTCAACGCAACGCTCACGGTGTACGCCAACGAGAGCACACGTACAAGCCCACACACAGACACACTCCCACACACACACACACACACACATCACACACACAGACACACACACACACATCACCACGGCATACATACACAGCATATACACACACGCAAACACAGACACACACAACATCACGCAACAAACGCACACCAGCTCCGCACAATCACTAGGATGCGCGCCGCGCACGGCGCTGACCTACACAATGGTGTACTGCACGTATATGTCACGCACCAGCGTCTTGCGCACACACGTCAACACACATTGCTGCCACCTCGCACACACTTTACTACACCATCATCCGTGATGCGGCTATTTAATTATTATATATTTTTTATTTATTAATTAATATATTTTTTACTTTATTTATTAATTATTACTTTTTTATTTATTTATTTGTTTATTTTTTATATATTTTTTTCATTATTTTTTTAAGTCCTTTTTTTATTACAATTATCGCTATATTGCTAAATGTGATATCAGTAATTTGATGATTGATGGTTGATTACTTTACATATTGTTATCGATATATGATTATTGATTCGCTTGCTATATGTGATTGCATCAATAAGTGGTTAGCGTTCCTCCCTCAGATTGCAAAGACATCACGACGATGCTGAACGTCAGTGATGGTTGCTGCGCCATGCTGCGTGCACGTTAACGCAGACGAGTGAGTGGACAGTCACACACACATTATAACAAGCACACATACACACACGACACACACCACCACACATCACACACACACACACACACACACAAACCAACACACACACCACACCACACACACACTCACACACACATAACATACTCACGCACACAAAATACACACACACACCACACACACACACAACAAATACACACACACACACACACACACCACAGCACACGACACACAAAGAGCACACAACCACAACACCCACCGACACACACACACACACACACACACACACACACACACATGCATGCATGTGTTCACAATCAATACGATACACTCGACCATGATTCATTCACAGACAATTTTCTGCTCCTACTCCTTCCATGTGGAATTTCGTGACAATCTCGACTTTTCAACACAAAAGTGCAAATTTATCGTTTGCGGGCGGTGGCGCCACCTTTGGCACAAAACACAAAACTTTCACCCTACGCTTATGGCGGTAGGCGGTTCGCGCGTTTCCATGACAACCTGCCTCCGCATCTTCCCGTCTCGTGACGTCACGTTCTGTCGTCGGCAGCCGGGTTTCTTGAGCGTCACTACACGGCCGTTGGTGATGACGATGTAAAGATAGACTATGACATCATTTTTAATGACACAACGCACAAGCAGCGCACCTTGGCGGACCATAGCATCTGCGGTATGATGGACAACCTGCACGACTACAGCACGGTATTAATATTATTATTATTATTATTATTATTATTATTATTATTATTATTATCAATATTACTATTATCTGAACTAATCTTAACTTATTAGCTAAACAAATCTCTTTTTAAATTGTATGTGTTTTGTCGGTTGTTCGTTCACCGTGATCGTAGCTTTCGATAATCTCAGCGCGTTAGTCATGTCAAGTTCTTCAAAAAACATTTCATTTTTACAAGGCAATAACGTCAAGCTCTTTAGACTATACTATGCGATCCAAAAAGTGTGCATATCCGTTTCTGGGCAGGAGGTTCCGGATGAACTACGCATGTCTAGATTAGCAGATAATATGGGTGAATATGTGTCAGATTAGCCAGATATTCCTAATAAATAATACAAATACTAAACTAATAATACTATTACTACTACTAATAAAAATAAAAATTACCAGATAATAATAATAATTAAGATTAATAAGTTACAATAATAATAATAATAAAAATCGCGCGGTTCCAATCATAACAAACATCTTTGACCACGCCACCTATCGGATCTTATATAAGTTAATATATTATGTTTTAATAGTTTTTATTAGATAAGTTCATAGAAATAGATATAAACATGTATACATATATTTCTATGCAAAGGTCAGATAATGTATTGACGCTCGCCATTAGGTTATGATTTATTTCATATTATTATTATTATTATTATTAGTAGTAGTAGTAGTAGTAGTAGTAGTAGTAGTAGTAGTAGTAGTAGCAGTAGCAGTAGCAGTAACAGATGCACATTATATAACCATCTTGCAAGTTATAATCATAATAATAATAAAAATCGCGCGGTTCCAATCATA